ATGTCTAACACACATTCAACTGGTACTAACAGATCCATGCACAAGAAGTATAACATCATGAAAGATTTACGCCCTCTTTGGCGATTCAAGTATATTTCCACGTAAAATTTCTTACAGAGCGTGTTGAGCTCAGGGAACGACTGAACCGAAGAGTCGGAAGCTGTGCTCTGTGTGTCGTCGAGTGCATCGCGAGTTGTGGCATGGAGAATCTCGAGGGTACGTGGAGTTTCGAGAACGACAAAGCAGAGTAGGGAGTTGTACTCCGGTGCTTTGCAGTAAAGCTGTCTAATTGACTTTTTTTTCAACTGTTGTTTGGTGATTTTATTGCTCTTCAAAGTTATTTAATTTCTGCGGAAACATTCACGTGATTCGAAAGATTTTGGTGTCCTCTTGAACCCTGCCTTAAGAGGATCATTTTGATGTGACTTATTTTGGATTACGACAGCTACTTTCGGATTTTATTTGCAATTTTCTGACTTGGATAAAGATGATGTTTTCCTCCATTGTAATACAGTAAAGGCAAGCATTGGATACTGTATATCAGCTCAGGTTTTTCCTAAAGTTGTGTAATTTGGATAGAGGTTGTTCATTTGAACTAATTTTGGATACTCCCTCACCTGCCCACCTGCTCTTTATTCAAGTCTTTGTAAAGATGTTTGGCTTAATTACAGTCTAGAGGGGGACTAGATAAGTTGTTTACATTTTGCCATAGCATTTCCTTAATATCAATATTTTCAGTTATTTATTATTTTTCAATTAATATTAGATTTTAAATCTGAATTATAATTGTGTTTTGTAATATTTCTGTGTAATAATGTTGTATATTTATTATTTTTAGTTAATTTTAATTCAGTTTTGTATTTTACATTAGACGGTTAGATAGTCTTATACCATTGTTCCACCAAATTTGCCTTTAATTCAAAGAATTGTATTCATAATTCTTTGAATTTCAAATCAATAGTTGCCAATTTATAAACTCTGTACTTTGTTGTTTGTAAACTGTTGATTTATTTTTGCTTATTTGAAATAGTTATTGTTAGATTACATTAATTTATGTTGATGATCTGCCTTATCACATCTTATAACTAATAATTTTAAGAAATTTTCTAGCTATTGAATAGCCAATTCAGTGATATTAGTTATTATTTTATGCATTAAAGCTTATTTATATTTCATTATGTATAAAGGTATCATAAACAATTTTATAGTGTTACGATAATCCTTTTCTGTATAACTGGTTTTTGTAACTTTTTCAGCCTATAACCTCTGTGCATTTTAGATTTTTAAGAAAATAATTGTGACATTGTTATTTCTCACCACTTTGACACATATTTGCCAACTTTCATATCCCCAGCATAAAAAGTTAATTTACATAGGATTTCCATTGACTTTTGTTTGACTTACACCACATTTTCATCTACATAGCAAATAGTATTATTTTCAGCTTGTGTTTTGATCTATTTGACTATTTTTTCACATAATATTGAATGGCTACTTCAGTAACTGACTCTGTGTCAGCCACACCTTCTGTATTATCTGAAGCGCCTTCTGCTACACTTCTTCCTGTGCCTACTGCTGCTCCAAACTCTACCAGATTACAAAATTATTTAGAACATAGTACTGCATTCAGCTGCTCTCAGCTTCCAACGCGAAGCATAAACTGACTAAGACAGCTCAAAACAAATTTCTGATACAATCATTATTGGACAACGCTCCATAGTAGAGTTGGAGCTAGAATAGAATTAGCAGAGCGAGATCAAATTATTGCTAATCTCAAGGGACAAAACGATTCTCTTAATAAGATCATTTCTTTATTGGAGCCTTCAACCTTCAAGGATTCTCCCCGCCTCTTGCTGAAACAGCCTCCCTGTCCTGCAGAGCGTCAATCTACTGTTGTTCAGCGACGAAAGAAGAAGGATTCCCCACCTAAGAGACTGCTGAAGCTTTCTGACCTCGAACGTTTGGTCTCATCTGAGGATCGCAGTGTCTCTCCGAGGGCCTTACAAGAAAAATTGGCCACCACTTTAGTGCCCAAGAAAGTTGGTACTGAAATTCAGCAAATCCGGCCTACCCGTGCAAACGAGCTCCTAATTCGCTGTGCTACTGAGGAGCATCTTTGTTCCATTAAAAATTCAATCACCTCTCAGTCGGAGCTTTCAGACTTGCTTCACTTACGCACAGCTAAGCCCATTTCTGATCATATAATTTTGTTTGGAGTGCCTGCTGAGGCGAAAGCAGAAGACATTAAAGAGGCTCTTGCTTCAATCATACCTCCTGTTAATAGTAGTGACATACAGCCCAGAACACCTCTTCATCGCCCAGATAATAAAAACAATTGGATTGTTCGTCTGGACACAGCTTATTCTTCACTTTTGGTCTCCAAAGGCAGGGTTTACATCGGCTTTTACTCGTGCCAATTTCGGAGGTACGTTCGGCTACAGCGTTGCTTCAACTGCCAACGTATTGGACATCAGAGCAAACAGTGCACTTTTCCACCGGCCTGCGTTCAGTGTTCTGCTGTACACGAACACCCAATTTCAGACTGTCAAGACACTCCAGTTTGTGTTAATTGCACAATTACTTGTAACAGAGAAAATATTTCAATAGACTGTGCGCATCCTTCTAACTCAAAATTATGTCCCACATACAAGAAGGCGCTCCAGCTTTTGATACAGACCTCAACTTAAATTCCACGTTATCGATTCATTGTCATTTCTTCAATGCAATTTACAGCGTTCAATAGCTGCCACCAGCCTCTTCATTCAAACGCAATATGAACAGCAAGTCTCGGTAGGACTAATTCAAGAACCTCACATTAATAATTTTGGCACACTCACTGGTTCCACAGCGCGAAATAAGATTTTTCTGCTCACACAACTCTTTGGCTGCAATAGTATATAACGGACCTTTATCACCCACTCTCTGGCATACTACAGATCATACAGTCTCTATTCTACTAGACACTCTGGATGCCCAGCTCCTTGTTGTCAACGTTTACTTTCCACCCAGCAAGAATCTGGATGCTCTTCTACATGAATTAAGTTTCCTATATTCCGGTGCAACTCCCAATATTTTACTTGGAGGTGACTTTAATGCCAGCAATAGATTATGGGGTGCACATTCCGATAATGCTCGTTCGACCATACTGTTGGATTTCATCCATAGCCTTAATCTAATAGTTCTAAACTCTCCACACTCTCCGCCGACTTTTGACAGCGTCTCAGCGAAAGGATGGCCTGACATTACCTTGGCTAGCATTTCAATTTCTACTCTCATTAATGACTGGAGAGTAGATTCTATTGAGACGGTCAGTGATCACAGAGCGATCTCCTTTAGCCTGTCCACTCCTTTCTCTGCAATAGGAAGACTACGTTTTAAAATAATTTATGGCGGCCTAAATAGTTTCAAAACAGCTCTTTTTCCTTGCTTACCTCAACTAAAGCAATCTTTTGTCAACTGCAATTCTCAGGAAGATCTTGATAAAGCGTATGATTCTCTTGTTCTTGCACTACAGAAAGCTTGTCTAACGGCATTCCCTTTACGCAAATTCAAGCTTCCACGTAAGGTTTCTTGGTGGACGAATGAGCTTTCGATTGAACGTCGCAAACTGCGACGATTAAGACGACAGGCACAGAGAATCTTGGATGCTGATCAAAGAAGATCTGCCTTTATTACCTATAAGCGCAGTCAGGCAATCTATAAAAGACACATAAAAGAGGCAAAGAAAATTTCGTGGAGTAATTTCTGCACACAGTCCCATGATACCTTTGGTTCTGCCTTCAAAATAGCAACCAATAAAGTTTTTCATCCCACTGCCCTTCCAGCTGGTCTGTCTCCGGGTGCCTCTTCTACTGCTGACATAGCCAAGTTCATACTATCCTCCTTATTTCAAGACGATGATGATGCGACAGAGGACACTACACACCAGGCTTCATTACGTTATCCTTTATAATAATTATACACCTGGTCAAGAGCCCACTTGTCAACTTCCGACCCTACAGGAAATCACCAATATCATACGGCATCTCAATATCAAAAAAACGCGCCTGGGCCTGATGATGGCCTTGACAATTCTATACTGCGAATGCTCCTCAAAATAGATACCCCAATTCTTACTCAAACTTCATACATGCCTGCTGGAAGTTTCGTCATTTTCCGTTCAATTCTAAGTTAGCAGAGGTGGTATTATTTTTGAAGAACGGCAAGGATGCATTTCAGCCAAGGTCTTATAGGCCTATATGTCTCATTCCATCTCTCAGCAAACTTTTAGAGCGCATAATTCTTGGCAGACTTAATTACTACCTCTCACAGCATAATATCTTGAATGATTTTCAATACGGATTTCGAAAGGGTAGATCAGCTGAGATGTCCATAGAACGACTGCTCTTAACAATTCAAGATAATAGAGCGAGCCTCCACCACACTTTAGTTATTAGCATCGATATACAAGGCGCATTTGATTCTCTCTGGTGGCCAGACATCATTGATGCTCTGGGCTGTCCTTCCATCTTAACTGATCTAATTTACAGCTACCTACAAGATCGCAGGGTTAGAATTACCCTCGATGGTAGCATAGTACATCATTCACTTTCCAAGGTATGTCCTCAAGGATCTTGCCTTGGTCCAATTCGATGGACCATTGTTGCTAATTCTCTGCTTAATGCTCTTCCGGACCTCAATAACTGCACCTCAATAGCTTATGACTTTCTTCTAATCGTTAAAGGACGCTCGCGTATTGGACATTCTGCACAGGCCGCTCTGGATGTCGTTGAAGACTGGGCCCGCCAACATAAAAATCACAATATCCACAGCTAAATCACAAGCACTCCTGATTGCAGCACGTGGTATCTTGCGCCGAAATCCACCATTACGTATTCGAAGGTGCTTCTATTCGCTACGTTCAAGATCTGAAATATCTAGGTGTCACAATCAATAACAGACTCTCTTGGTTACCACACATCCGACAGATCAACTTAAAGGTCAAGATTATACATCAGCACATGTTAAGGACAACTGCCAAAACTTGGGGTATCAGATCAAGCATGCTCAAACAATGGTACCATGCAGTGATTGAAAAGATCATATTATACTGCTCAGGTATCTGGGCCTGTCACCTCACTAAGCCTGAGCGTAGAATGTTGATATCCATGCAATGTCTCTTCCTATTGAAAATTACACGATCCTATCGTACTACTTCAAATCACGCCTTGATGGTTCTAGCTGGTGTTCCGCCTCTTGATCTCACTGCAGAGAAAGAGGCCTTTCTTTCAAAAATACTACGCCTTCAACGTGATGCCGAGTTATGGTCCTGCCACTTTTCTACAATAGACTTTGAACATCGGCCCTCCAAACCACTCTGCCATCCTGCCGAATTTGATCTGCCTGATTCTATCTTCACATCCTCTCAACAGCTTCTGCCTAACTTCAACATTGAGATTTATACTGATGGATCTCGTTCTCCGACAGGTACAGGTTGCGGCCTCTGTCTGTATGTGAATGGCACACTAACACGCACTTGGAGAAGAAGACTGAACACTAAAAACTCCGTCTATCAAGCAGAACTTGTTGCCATTAAAAAAGCAATAGACCTAGCTTCTAAATTTACTGCTCGCACCATCATTTATACGGACTCTAAATCCAGTCTTGAAGCCTTACAAAACATGCATCCTACTAGCTCGCTGGTCCATATTATTCAGCAACTTCTTCTTCAACTGCCCTCTAATTACCGTCCCATTCTCCGGTCCCTGGACACAGCGGGGTTTTGGGCAATGCACATGCAGACTCTATAGCTAAAGAGGCTGCTCAAGGAGTTCATTTAGTGGAATATCCAATAGCCTATCCAGCCTCTTATTTGAAGTCAATTGCCATAGCTAAACTTATGGAACGTTGGCAGCAGAGCTGGTCCTCTGCTAGCACTGGACGACGTACCTATCTTTTCTTTCCAAAAGTCTCAGCAAAGATGATTCTTTCAAACTTCTCCCAGGCTGCCTTTTTCACAGGACATGGACCATTCCCAACGTACTTACATAGATTTCACATTCGAACGACAGACATCTGCAACTGTGGCATTCTCGGATCTCCGGATCATTTCGCTTTTGACTGTGTGCAAACCAATCAATTTCATTTCAAGAGACCTCTTACGCAGTGGGCTCAATATCTCTTAAATAATCCATTGTCCATCAATAAACTTCAGCACATCATTGACATCTGTAATAGCCTGTACACATTTACATTTATAAGCTAAGTGTCTCCTTCATGTTCTTCACATTACATATGTTAACACCATTTACACATATCTTTTCCAATTAATAGTATATTCTTTCTATATAGTCTCCATATTCTATGTTTGATAACTATCTATTGTATAATGAATGTGTTGCATTGCGTGTTGTGCAATGTTATTGTATATATTGTATATAAAGTTATTTATTGTTGTTTATTACTCTATTATATTGTATTGTATACTTTAGTATTTTTGTATATATAGTCTCCATACTCTACGTTTGATATATATTATCTGATTGTGTACTGACTATATTGCATTGTAAGCTGTGTAATGTTTTTGTATATATAGTTATTTATTGTTGTTTTATTATTCTATTATATTGTATTGTATTTTATATTGTATAGTATATTATTATATTGTATATTCAAGCATTATATTATATTATATATTTATTCCTGTATTGTTTTGTATACTTTATATTCCTGTTTTTGTACTTATGCGTGTACATTTGTGTTTCTCATTATATGCTCATTTGTTGCCACTGTTTACATTGTAAGGATCTTAAGTTTTACTAACGTTTATTTTATTTTAAATCTTTACTATCACTTCTTATTTTCTACTTCCGGCCAGAATTATAAGCGTAAGGGTTTTTATGCAAAGTTTGTCTGGCGAACGCCAAGTATTTAGGTTTTGGCTTTTTGCCAAGCAAGAGAGAGGAAGCAGTAAGTCAAAGCAGGCCGCTTACCTTAGAAGTTTTACGCAGTTGCTTGTTGCCTTCCAGGCCAGAGGTTTTAATCCTCTTGATAAATTTTAAACGTATTGTAGTGTTCACAGTTCTCTGTACTACATACGGCTTCCTGTTAATATAAGGCCAATCTTCCACGTTTATTAATTTAAAGTTAAATTAGAGTTTAGTTTTATTTTTATATTTTTACGTTTAGACCCCAAGTAGTGGGGTCTGTGTATTCCGAAGTACGGAAGTTATTGTAAATAGAGAAAAATAAAGGGTTTTGTATACCCTTCTTGTGTATCCTGTCTACTTCCCACAGTTTATGAACATAGCTTTAGTAAGCTCTCTGTTCCGAGTCAGGTCCTTGCATGTTCCCGAAGAAGGTAAGACGGAACATTGAACCTGATAGTGGCGCCCAACGAAGAAGAATAACCATGGCCGAGTTTCAAGAAGAACCTGTGCTGCCTGCAGAAGCGGCTCAGAATCCAGAAATGCCAGCTGCCGCCCTGGAAGGATTTGGTTACATCGTCCAGACCATGCGCGCTTCGATGAAAACCAGAAGCAACATTTAATGGAAACTCACCGGTAACCAGTTTTTTGGAAAAATTGGATGACCACTTCATGCTCTACCCCGTGCACGAATTTCAAAAAGTTACCTTAGCTACCAGCGCTTTGAGGGGCCAAGCGCTTAATTGGTTCAAATGTATAGGCAGAAGAAGTCTCTTGGGTCAAGCAGGAAGTCCCACCTATACTTACGAAAATTTCAAGACTGCCCTAGTAAAAGCCTTCCCTGTTGTAAGGGATCGTGCGAAATTAGAAACGGAACTTTTCAGTATATATCAACAAAGAATCGAAAATCTCTCAAGCTTTATTTTAAGAAAAATTCACGTCTTCAAACTCTTGTATGGAAACCGTCCGGATCCTGAGATAATTCAAGTGATTTTGCCGAGGTTACTGCCCCAAGTGCAAGACTTTATTGAATTAAGAAATCCGACTACACTGGAAAAGTTATTTGAGCTAGCAATCCAGTTTGAAAGTAGAAGAACGGCGGACATTGAAAGAAGACGCCAATATCAACAACGCGAAACCAATTTGGTGCGCCAAGACTACAGCAAACTCAAGCACACGGCTACGGAAGCAAAGCGAATCAGTGGGCAAGGAAACCCGAGCATTCAAAAACAGCCGGCGAACGGAACGAACAGTTCAATAGCAATCCAGGAAAAAAGTCTCAAGGCCAGTGGAAAAAAAAGGAAAGCACGGAAAGGAAAAATAATTTAAACTAAAACGGATTTCTGCTGACGGAGGGTGCGGAAATCCGAAGGCCACGAAAACCCCTCTTCCTTCAAGTTAAATACAGTAATGGTGAAAAATTTGACTCTTCCGAAGATTGAAGTGTTGGTGAATAATATCCCAGCCACCGCACTCCTGGATACAGGCGCGCAGTGTTCCTGTGTGGCAGAAGATTTTTTTAGGAAGTATTTTCGCAAATACCGCATATATAATTCGGATAATACGACAGTGTTAGCGGCGCAAGGAGAAAAAGAATGTAAGTGCATAGGTAAAGTACCTTGTATATCCGTATCAAGGACGAACAAGTAAAGGTGATGTTTTTTATAGTAAAGAATCTTCAAGCACATATATTCTTAGGAATAGATTTTCTTTCAGACGCACAAGCAACACTGGATTTTAATGAAGCGTCCCTTAAGCTGACAATGAAACCAGTTCGTGCAGAAAAGGCTGAACCGCCAATGTTAAATCTTGACCACCTGCCTAATGACGAGCAAGGAAGAATCCGACAAGTGGTAAGTGAATTTGCTTCGTTATTTAGTGATATTCCAGGATTTACTCAGGTTACTAACCATAGTATTGACACCGGAGATTCAATGCCAGTTCGTCCAAAAACCATACCGGTATGATAAGAATAAGGAAAAAATTATAGAATGGAATGGCATATTACCGATATGCTACGTAAAAAGATCATAACGCCCATCTCAAGTAGTTATGCTAGCCCGGTGGTTTTATGTAAGAAAAATAATGACTATCCTTTGACACATCCAAAAAGGTGGAGATTCGCTATTGATTACCGTAAATTAAACTCCATAACTAAATATCCGGTATATCCGTTACCGATCATTGAAGAAATTCTAAGGAACATAAAATCAACCAAATTTATGACGACTTTAGACTTAACGACTGGTTATTTTCAAATAGGGGTTAGGCCTGAGGACGTGCCTAAGACTGCTTTTATAACCAAGTCTGGCACTTATGCATTTTTGCGTATGCCGTTTGGCCTTTCAGGGGCCCCGGCAACATTTCAGCGATGCATGGACATTGTGTTTAAGACCTGTTCTTGGAAAGTCCACATTTATCTATTTAGACGATATCATTATTACTAGTGATAATCTCGACCAACATGTACAGGATTTAAGACAGGTGTTTCTTTATTAAATGAGGCCGGTCTAAAAGTTAATGTCGAAAAGTGCAAATTTGCAGCCCCTGAATTAAAATATTTAGGTTACAAAATATCTCAGAAAGGAATCGAGACAGACGAATCAAAAAATAATCGCTGTACAAAAGTATCCGACTCCAAACACGGCCAAGAAGCTCTCTTCTTTTCTAGGACTTTGTTCATATTATAGGTCCTTTATAAAAGATTTTGCAGCTATCGCTGAACCATTGTTAAAATTAAAAAGGAAAAAGGCAAGACAAGATTCTCGTGGACGGCCGAAGCCAATAGTGCTTTCGAAAAATTAAAACAAGCATTAACGCAAGCCCCTGTGTTGAAATTTCCTGAAAAGGATGAGAATTTAGAAATTTCAGCGGATGCTTCGGATTATGCGGTAGGAGCGGTACTTTCGCAAAATCAGCAGCCCGTGGCATTTTTTAGCCGAACTTTAAATCAAACACAAAGAAACTATTCCGCGACCGAGAGAGAGGCACTTGCAGTTCTGTTAGCAGTGCAAAAGTTCCGAGTCTATTTTGGAAAGGCGCCAATAACAGTAATAACAGTGTACTCTGATCATGCGGCGGTAACTAGATTGTACTCAGGGAAAAACTTATCCCCAAGGTTAATAAGATGGGCACTCAAGCTACAAGAATATAATCTGGTAATCAAGCATACTCCCGGAAAGGAAAATATCGTAGCAGATGCCCTATCAAGAATTAAAATAGATGAACAAGGTAATACCGTAAAGGCGAAAAGAAATAGGGCGGCCCATTACGAACTAATAGATGGTCTATTATTCTATACAAAAAATACGAATTCCAACAAAGAATTTCGACCTGTTATCCCAGCTAGTCTTAGATTAAATATCCTGCAGGAGCTCCATGACAGCCCTTTAGCTTCTCATGCTGGTATTCGAAAAACTATCCAACGCGTACGCGAGGCAGTCTACTTTCCTGAACTGCAAAAGTTAACAAGGGCGTATGTCCAGTCCTGCCCAACATGTCAAGCAGTTAATTATATTAATTTCCGCCCGGCCGGGTTTCTAAATAGTATTAAATCCGAATTTCCAAATGAAATAATTGGCATCGATTTATTGGGCCCTTTCCCAAAAAGTCAGTTAAATAAAAGTCGCTATCTCCTTGTTATGGTTGATCATTTTAGTAAATGGACCGAAATTGTTCCCTTAAAACGAGCCTCCGCGAAATTAGTTACTGATTCTATTTTAAATAAATATATTTTAAAATACGGGGCGCCCCTAAAAGTTATATCGGATAATGGTCCTCAATTTGTAAGTAATATATTTGAAGACATGTGCCAAAAACTGGGCATACGTCATTTAAAAATGGTCCCGTATCGGCCGCAATCAAATATAGCGGAACGGGTCAAT